GATAGGGCAGGCATCAGATCTGTTGTCCATAGAGTCGCTATGTGTTGTAGTCAACTTGATAGCACGTAACCAGTTAGAATTATCCTTTTTCCCCTTTGTACCTCTTCTTACCTCAGACTAAGGAACTCGAGATACATTTACTGATGGCCAAAGAAGTAAGTGAAAAAGACAAACAAGCACACTGTTGTTGCTGTTGTTAGGTGCCGTCAAATCAGTGGCAATAAGGAGAGAAATGTGAAAAGCCTTCTCAGAGATCACTGGACTCGGGAAGCGGGGAAGAGGGAGAGTCAGAAATTATCCCCAGGTTTTCATGCAAGACAATTATGGTTTGAATAATGAAAGCATTTTTCTGTAAAGAGGATTATATTTGAACATAACCTTTTCTGTAGGCAGCAATCAATGTAATGCAACTCATTACGTTTTTAAACATATTGCAATGTAAACCACTTATTAGTGTCTCAGAATATAGAACATTCTCAACAATTGGTAGTTGTTATGATTGCTTGTTGTCTTAGAACTAATGGGAAACTCTAAAACTCAACTAAAATATTGGTCCTAGTAGAGCCATACTTTCTGGGATCAGCTTTTCAAACATTTAACACCGAGTGTGCGATACAAAAATCTCTATGGTGGTAATGACTAATACCAAAGACAACCAAATTTTATTATTTTTATGTGTTGTTGATTGCCATCGAGTTGAGCACAACTCAGAGCGATCATATGAACAAAAAGCCTGAAGCCTTTCTATAACTATTGTCATTTCTCCAAGTTCATAGAGTTTCCAGAGGCATGTGGTTTAGAAGTGGATGCCATTCCTTCCAATGTACGAACTTACTTTTAAAAATAATAATGAATGTGCTTGCTCCCAGGTCCAAGATGGTAGACGAAGCCCCCAGCAGGTGATGTCAGAGAACCCTGTCCTGAAGACTAACGCTGGACCCTGAGATCGTGAGTTATGGGTGCAGCGACTAAAGGAGGAATACCAGTCCCTTATACAGTATGTGGAGAACAAGAATGTGGACAATGATTGGTTCTGACTAGAGTCCAACAAAGAAGGGACTCGGTGGTTTGGAAAATGCTGGTACATCCATGACCTCCTCAAATATGAGTCTGACATCGAGTTTGATATTCCTGTCACATATCCCACTACTGCTCCAGAAATTGCAGTCTCTGAACTGGATGGAAAGACAGCAAAGATATATAGGGGTGGGAAAATATGCCTGACTGATCACTTCAAGCCTTTATGGGCCAGGAATGCACCAAAGTTTGGACTAGCTCATCTCATGGCTCTTGGGCTAGGTCCATGGCTGGCAGTAGAAATCCCAAATCTGATTCAGAAAGGTGTGATCCAGCACAAAGAGAAATGCAATAAATGAAGGATCAAATCACTGAGGAAGAACTGAGGGGCCTTTGATAAATAAGGTTTCTTACTCATCTAACTGCTTCCTCTTTCCCCTTCCATTCCTACTCGAAATTGCAGCAGGCAATGCTGGGGGAAACCAAAATGGCATTGCTACTGAGTTTCTAAGTTAGGCTGCAGAAGAGAATGGAAAAGACTTGGACCTTCAAAAACCAAGAGGCAATTATAAGCCCCTCCCCAGATGGAGCTATGTAAGATCCTGGGGTAACTGAAATTGGGGACACGACTTTTTTGGTTTCTGGAGATAACCATCAGTAAAAGCTGTTTTCTCTGGAAAAAAAAATAATGAATGCTTTACATCAAGAATGGATTTTCTCAGAAATCAGTGTATAAAATGTCATTCCTCTTAGGCAATGATCCTAATCCTACTCTTGGAGGGTTGGGGTTGTTTTTTTTTCTTCTGTGGGTGTTTTTTTATTTTTTCATTGGTGTGGATGACAGTGTAGTTCAATTTGTTAAGAATCGGAATACAATTTCAAACTATCATAAGTAAAAACTGAAGAGTTACCTAAGTTATCTAACTAGGCTAATTATATAATTATATCATATAACGATCCTCTGAGCTATTTATCTATTTGATAATATTAAAGATATACGTTTTTCTGGTGGCCTACTGGCAAGAAGCTGCACTGCAATCCCAGAGGAGTACAGCTAGAATCCACCAGATGCTCTGCTGGAGAAGGAGGGACAATCTCCTTCTCCAGTGAGATCTGATTTGATGACAGTATACACACACACACACACTCTAAAATTTAAAAAAATTTTAAAATACACATTTTTCTTTAGGTTGTAATGACAAGAGATATTAACTAACTGAAGATAATAAGTTACAAAAAATCAAACTAAAAATCTGGAGTGAATTCTCGTCAAAGAGAAAGATTCTTAAGTAACAATTTAAAAATTTAAAAAAGAAACTACAGAAAACAGAATATGTGTATGTTATCTTGTACACAGGCAACATTTATTGTGACACACATTACTCTTAGGAGGAATGAATAACAATTTAAGTGTTGCTTATGACTTCTTTATTTCTGCCTGCAACTGTTTACTTGTGGGGACTTGAAAATAAATGTCTAAGCTATTATAAAAATACAGTAACACAGCAATTTCTCAAGTAGTCAGGTGAAAACCAGAAAGAGTTAATTTTGTTTAGAAACCTGTTTAACATGTTGGTTGAATAATTAACTACGCATTGAATATATAACCCTTTGTATGAGTCATACAAATCCTCAAACATAGAAAAAAGTACATTACTACTACAAGAATTATTACTCTGATTCTCAACTTATGCATATAATTTATTGGAGGTGGAGAATCAGTACTTTTAATTATGGCATCAAGTCATCTTTATTTTATTAATTTCAATGAACATTTACAAAGATTTTGGATTTCCATTCATTCATTGTTGCACTTTTCTCCCTGCCC